CAGTGCTTATTAATATACGTTAGGTAAGGGCAAACCCGTTATATATAATTAATCCAAGATAATTAGAAAGGCTTAGGGACACATGTTCCAAAAGATGAATTGCAATCACATTGCAAACTAATGGGAGTTATAACGTAAAAATGAAAACGTTGTAACAAAACAAGCAACTTTCTGGATTCTAATATGCATTTAAAAAAATCAAAGTCTTTGTCATATGTCTTAACAACTGTCCTCCCTGTGCATTGTTTGAGACTGCTTGCATGTTCGACCTTTTGCTAGTTTATTAAATTAACGGTAACGCACATGCATTGAAAGAACACACATACAAGTGACAGAATTCCTAATAGCAAGGATGAAGCGGAGTTTTTATCGGCTTGAATATTTTTGCAACCAAGCATTGTCATTGCTCTCACTGCGCATGCGTCAGTTGTCAACGGAATGGTCCTCCACAGACATTAGGAAGAAAAGGTGAAATTTGTTCATTAAAACTACATGATTACAGACGTTACAAGTAGAACAAGCCACATTTTGAAGGACTGGGGGATAGGTTTCCAGGGGACATATCTATATCTAACAACACATGCACTAAGCATTCTCTACACTACGTGAACTCCAAGGGAATTTGAACGTTTGTAGAAAATTGCCGAAAATCCAGTGATATTCTTCGCATAATTAAGAGTGCGTGTTACGTTAAATTATCACAGTTGGTTGTAGGAAATAAATGAGCTATAGGGCTGTAGGTACAATTCACATATACAACCTCAAATAGGGGCGGATCCGGAATTTTTCCTGGGGGTGGTCAGGCCGGAGATTGTTTTAATGTCTCATTTTTGTGGACAAGTATAAATGATGATGAAACATATGCCATACATTGTTTACAATGGTATTGGTGCATTTACTTTAGTTAATGTTGTTATTTACCCCCTTGGATCCGCGCCTGCTAAGGCTTTTCAAAAGGGATTTAAATTGCGAAGTGGTGGTTGAATTCTTTCTGTTTTTAACAGCGACGTGCAACAAGATGTTGGACTCCACCACAGTGGCTGAGCATGAATTGAAGCTGTTCTGCAGGAATTGTCACGGGAAACACTATGGGCCGAAGGGGGTTGGTTTCGGTGGCGGCGCCGGCACGCTCAGCATGGACAGCGGGGAGAGATTTGCATCCAAGAAGTAAAAGAATGACCGGATAGTGAACGGGAATCGTCCCTCGTAAAATCCTTGTTCAAACCTTACAGCCTAACCCGACAGTTAGCTTAAGCGTATAGATAATCTCGCATAAACCGTGTGCGTGAAACTTAATAAATAATCGGTTTATGATAAATGTACAATCTTTAAATCAGGCAGATAAAAATGAAGAGCTTCTTCTGACAAACTTTAAATTTTCAAATTTAATTTGAAGCATGTTGTTTTCTGATTGCAAAGAAAGTTTAACCTTCATGCAGAAAATTTTTTATAATTACTTGCAGTAATTCAAATGTAAAACATGTTGCTGTTACGTTACGTATGTAGCATGATTCAGTATTCTGGCGTCTTCAACGTCAGTAGAAGACCACGCCTCTAAACTGGTATCCGCAGTCATTGCCGTAGCCTCGGAAGAAGTAGCCCGCGAATGAAAAGCGAAAAAATGAAAAAAATACACCCGGCTTGATTTTTGTACTAGATTTATCTGAGCTTTAATTGATACTGAATATATTGGTGAAAAGATCAAAGTTCACATTTCTTGGAGTGCCGACAGGTCCTTTTACATTTTATACCGTCTGACAGACGGCAAATATATTTACTGGAATACGTGGTAAAGATGTGTTGTCAATTTTGCTGTTCGCCCTTAACCAGAACTGGAAAACGCTATAGTGTCCCTGGAGCTCCGCGAAATCACAAGTGTGTTGCAGAAATGTTGACTGAGGTGTTGAGAAAGTAATTTAACTAATTTAATGTATGCTTAGTGCTTCAGACTAGGTGTAATTACTTGAAAATGCATCTTTTATAGCGGGAAAACATGTTAGTCAAATTTTAATCTCTTGGTTGAATATCGTGTCAGCAGCTATCCGCTGACAGTGTCAAGAACAAATACGATTTACACATGAACCAGGCAAAACGCTTGCTTCTGCACCAATGGGACGAACGTGTTATTTCCAATTTGCGTCTTTCTACGGCCAAATTTTCACCAGTTCGCGTGAAGCTTAGAAAAGACACAGATAGTCATTTTCTAAAGTTAGGAAATAATGAGAATTCTTCTTTCATTCACAAGCAATAGTTTTGTATGGCTTTGCAAACGCTTAATTAATTCATTGCAGCATTTTGGCGTTGTCGTTTCGTAGAATTAGTGTGAATTGAGTTAATAATTATGTAATAGTCATACAAGGAACGCACAGCTATGTACTACGACTCCAACGTATGAGGTTACTTGTCACCAGCGGATTTTAATCAATAAAGTATGCTGAAAGCTTATAAAGTACTTGGAATGTGATGTTACGTGCATTTTTCCAGAATGTTTTGGTGTTTTGTGTGTAAAGGACGGAGACATCTTTACTGTGCGGCCATAGTGTGTGTGTTAGGAGTTGTCAGGGAAGCTACGGGACGATTCCTTGAGACTTGTCCACACGTATCAAGAATCATGTTTAATTTTAAGATGAAACATTTTCCGCAAAATCTACAAAACTGGCATAATTTAAATGAAAAGCGTGATACTGCTAACAAAATATTGTCTTGGTGTCTCGAATAGCCTTATGTAAAAAATGCTGCGTTTAACTTCATATTATAGACGACTATCGCTGTACGAGAAGTGAACTCTGGTCAAGTAGGTGATGCTGTTAATTTTTTTCTTAAAAACAGATGCATGCAAAAGACTGTTGGACTCAACTACCGTGGCTCATCATGATCTGAAGCTGTACTGCAAAAATTGCTACGGCAAATTCCACGGGCCGAAGGGGGTTGGCTTCGGATCTGGAGCCGGCTCACTTAGTATGGACAGCGGGGAGAGATTTGGAGGCCCAAGAAACGAGAAGAAGCTGTTTTAATTTCGTAAAGAAAATATGATTTATGACTGTGTACTAGATTATGGTTCTGTTGAATAGTTCTCTGCGAGTTATCTGAAATAAGCTTGATTACGAGCAGATATTTATACGCTGCCTCAGGAAGTTGGTTTCTGAAGTATTTTTTAAACACTTTTGCATGAAAAGCTTGCTTGCACAGAATGAAATTTAAAATTTCAAAGCTGATCAAACTTTAATTATTTAAGGTAATAAATTTTGCCCTCTCCCTGGAATCCTGATTTTAGACTCCTTTTGGAACAATCCTGCACAGAGCATCAAAATGTTTGAATCAATGCTTTCAATGTCCAAAGCTCAGAAAAAGGAATAGGCAGAGATGAAAAGACACAGAAAAAAGAGCATCGGGGGTTGTTTTACACATCAACAAGAGCGCAGAATGTGCAAAGTTCGATAAACAGGCAAGTCTCTAAGAGATAGACCTGTTGGGAGGAGTTGCACTAGCCCGCTAGCCATTCACCCATAGCCCCATTATAGGTTTTCATAATCTTACGACGTTTTTACCTTCGAATAGTTGTATTGAAAATTAGAGTTTAAGACTTGACTCACGTAAATCTCTTGTTTCTCACGATCTGCTATATACATGTACATACCTAGGACTTTTTTCTATTGGGTAGGTATAAAACAGATAATGAAAGATGAAAGATTTCGATTGGTCTGATCGTTAACCCTCGTTTTCCTTTCTAATCCTTCTAATCCTCGTGCAAATCTCATAGAGGTCAAAAGCCAACATAGTAACCTATTAACGTTGATCAAAATCGTTTATTACAGACAGCATTTTCGTCACTTTTAGTGTCTCAAAGAAATAAATGTACATGTGCAATCTCGCTCAGAATTCACACAACACCAAATTCTCGCTTTGGTGGCTGGAAAATTCACTCCATTGAAAATTTAAGGAAACGTAACATTAATTGTATGCATGATGTTTGCCAATTTCCCAACAGTTTAAGAAGCAATAAATAAAATAATGATACAGGTTGGAAAATTTTGACTGGAATCACTATTGATATATGAATTATTTGCATAAAATCCTGATTGATGGAATATTGTGGCTCAGTGCTTTGTCGATATGAGCATTAAAGCTTTACGCATGCTTGTGTAGGCAACTAGGCTATAGCTCGCTTAACAAAGCCGGGAGTGCTCAGGAAACCAGCGACTGAGGTAGATGGGAACGTTTGCCATCACGTAGTGGGATCTATGAAGTGCCTGTTATGGTTCTATATTAACAGCATGGATAGACCCATCCATCAGGGTACACCGACAGCAGCCGTTGTCGTGCATAATAAGAATTAGACTAATAGTGTTCATGGTGAACAATTTATGCACAATGATTTGGGAATCAAAGTGCAAGAACAAAAGTGTAAAGTTTGTTGGTTGCCAGCCTCGAATGCGATGCTTTTTGTTACCAGTTTCTTTTTCGGAATTAAACACAAAGTACCCAAGCAAATCACAAAATCGAAGATAATTCAAATCTACAATTTGATGTTTTTTTTCTTCTAAGGGTCACTTGTTCATGATCCAGAATTTGCAAGTCCCTTCTGAACCCCTCATTATGGTGGTCCGATGGCTGAGAGTTCATACACTTCATCATGGATGTTAGCTCCTCCTTTTACCCCGCCCCTATTTGCTACATCACCTGATTGTCATGCTGAACTCCCTCCACAGCCATTAGCGGCGCTATGTACAGTACATGGTGTCAGGTGAAAATGCACCCACTTGCCCCCACGTTTGCACCCACAAAACATTTTGTCACATACTACCACAGGGCGATCAACCTTTCTGTTTTACGACTCTGCATCATAACCCAGGTAAAATGAAGGATATTTTGCACCCCATGCGACTCCGCCTTGCCCACATTTGCACCCACAGCCACCTAGGTCTGGTGCAGCCACACATTTGATGCAAACTATGGGACAGAGAGACACCGCTACCTTTGTGTTGGTCATTATTATACTGGTATCTCAGGAATTCTTTTCAGACATTTGGGGGATATGTTAAGTAACAGTAGGCTGGAGTTTAGGATTGAAGGGCGGTACCCCTCTCGTCCATTTGCAATTTTTTTCCGTAGGTGGATGAGTCAAAATATATTATTCATGAGGCCTACTGCTCAACTGAACTCGAATGATCGAGCGTACATGTACATGTACCGCGCACCACTGTGTACCACTGTGCACATGCGCATGTGCACAGTGTACAAGTACGAGTGAGCACCGAGTGTGCAAGTTTCATTCTGTGAATGCTTCACATGCTGAGAATAGAATAATTACTATTAAGTTTGAACAATAACTTTTTGTTGGTTACATTTTGGATAGTTGCATAATGTGTGCTGTCCCTTGAAGTCGACTAACCTTTGTTATTTTTGGTAAACGTAAAGTTGTATTTTTTTCATTTCTTCAATCTAAAAACAAGACCAAGGTCTATTTCCATCTCTGTTCAGTTCAATTCGATTATCCCAGAAACTTAGTGTCCTCACAAGTTTCTGAATAGTTTAGATACAATTGTAGTTTGGTTTTATTCATGGTTTGATCAAGTTTAATTCCTGTGTAGAAAATAAAATCCAAGTTTGACACTTACAACATCAGCAGAAAGATTTTGAACGATGGTGCACATTGGAAAATCCAGATTTGAAGAGGACAGCATACATGTATTTTAACCTAATCCTTGACAACAGCTTAATGATAACAATTATAATTGTTTATAGCCCATTACATCATAAAACAGATCTCAGGCTGTACATAAATATAATACGCAATGTCCTTAAGACTAAAATAAAATTACCTACAAATTATACAGTAAAAAGCATAAAAAAGACGCCAGACTCAACCCGCCTAAAAGAGCAGCAACCCACCAAACACCCACAAATGCCGGATTCTTAGTATTCAGAGTGTAGCTACAAGTAACGTAATAAAAGAGACTCAAAATAAAAAAAGTTATTAAAACTTCACTGCAAAAAACCTTAAACGCAATTATGTACAATATAGCATTATAACAAGGAAGGATGATACACTTACAAATGGTACACCACCCGAAAGATATGTGTTTTTAACCAAGAGATAAGTTAAAATAGTCTAGAGTAGGGGCTTTACGGACTGAAGGGGGATGCCATTACATTCCAGAGCCTATGTGCGGCAACCGAAAAAAGTCGCTTCTCATAGTAGGACTCTTGCCTGTGGCGGGGCTCATTAAGCTGTGATATCACAGAGGATCTGGTATTCCTTTCTCTTTGGCAACGAGCAACGAGATCAGTTAGGTAAGAAGGTGCCTGATGATGAAGTATCTCATACACCATGACTAAAATCTTTAAGTCGATTCGCTGTGCAACAAGGAAACAGTGCAAAGAATAACTGAGAACATGTGAAGAGTTACATGAGAAGATTTGGAGAACGATGTATACCAAGCGTGCTGCTGCATTCTAAATGGCTTTGAGGCGCTTAATTAAGTGATTAGGCGCATGATAAAAGAAACTGTTACAATAGTCCAAAGAGACATGATGAAAGCCTGGACTAATCTCTCCATGCTTATGCGGTCTAAGATTCGTCGAATATGGCCGATACGATGCAGAGCAAACGATGCAGACTTGAGGTAGTATGACCAGACAATGAACAAAATGAATCAAGATAAAAACCAAGGTTTCGAACTGATGAGTCGGTTGGACTCACGGAGACTTGACAGATACAAACAGAATTCATTTTCAAAGGATTACGGAACTTAGAGTGAATATGCAAAACATCGGTCTTACCATCGTTGAAAAGTAGTCTATAGGAAGTCATCCCAAAACGAACTTCGATTACGCATTGTTCGATAAGTGTAGTATTCAATTCACCAGCTTTACTACAATGAATCTGTGAATCATCTGCATAAACCATCAAATCAACATCGTAAATATCCTCGAGTGGCGTGCAGTAAAGCTAAAGGCTAAATAACACCAGACTAAGTATAACGAATGGCGAGATGCAGAAATACAAGAAGAAGCGCTTCATTGAATGCAAATGGTTTGGGGAGCGAGATGACGTCTGTTTGTACATGAACGTGTCTTTTGCTATAGCAGAATAGTAAACGAAATGCGGTTTACTTCAGCACTAAACCCAACCAAATCTTCACTCGCTGCCACTGCAGCCAGACATGGATCCAGTGGCATGATCAGCCATGAGCATGCTTGCTGCTCGACTTCACCACTACGTTCATGATCTTCGTTCGCAAAGTGAAGCCAGGAAACACGGTACATACACACACATCATGTATACCATTCATATTGTACTGTTTAACCGAATAAAACATTACTTGAGTTTAAAATACAGGCAAAGAAATGCACAACCGAATGTTCAGTATTTCATGAGAGCTGACATTTTCTGACATTACTGTGCCAGCAGGAGATCGGCAAAGCGGTCACAGTGCACACACGTACACACCCCCTTGTGCACAGGCGGTATGCTAGGTAGTAGGCCTCAGGAATAATTCATATATTTAGATTCACCCACCTACTGAAAAAAAGTTGCGTCCCATATCGCGCCTTGTATATCGCAATTGTCCACAGCAGTCTTAATTGTTCCAATACCTTCGGGCTATTTTCCCCTCCCGTTTCTTCCCCTCCAGTCAAAATAATGTTTTGGCCCTCGTGTCTCTGTGAACGTGGATTTAAATGGAAAACGCATCGTGCTACATCATCAAGTATCGATTCTTCCGACTTCTACTAACGAACACGGCCATAGTCGTTTAATTTGCGCCTTCTGATGATCACTTGTTTGTAGTACATGCGACAGAAGCGTGGACATAATCACGTTCAAAGAATATGCGGGCAAAAAAGTACACAGGTATGGTAATCTGGAAGGTACGGAAGCATAGAATGAACACTCGGAATTTTTTTGTTAGTTCTCATCTCGCTGCTGTGCAGCGACGTATCCAGCTTTTGGTATTTGGGCGGAGGGGGACAAATCCAAAAGCGAATGCAGATTTGGGCTTATTTACCATGTGTTAGGAGAAGAATATCAAAAGCCTTACTCAAAAATCCATCGGGGCACCCCCCCTCCCATGAAACCGTCCGACTGCACTTTCCTTTTTCAGAAAATCTTCCACAACGGGAAGTTTGTGCTGGAAATTTGGAGGACGGGGATTCGCACAGGCTGTGGAATTTTGGAAAGCCCAGGGGTGACACCATATGACATTTTATATAGGGGGAGATGTCCGTGATTTTTTTTCATGCAGAATGTTCCACAGAATGGCATATTTGTGTTTTTTTCTCCTTTTGAGTGATACTGAATGTATTTTAGTTGCTGGGAAGTCCAAACAATTCTTCAAAGTCCGCTCTAATGTTTTGCTAAACACAAAAAGGTGGGGGATGATTCAAGCCCACCCCTCAAAAAAAGTGCGCTTGTACATGGTGCCTTGTGGGGTACCGGAACAATGGAAGATACCCCACAAGGCCAGTTTTGATCCTTGTGGGGTACTAAAGTGGTACCCCACAAGAATGTCACGAAACAGATATTTCAAATTTACTCAAAAAGGAGGAATTTTCAAGTGCCAATTTCAATCCAGGAAACCGAATTTGGTTGAAATGGCAGTGATTTGAAATTTTTTCCGTGTTGTGTGGGAGTTTTGTACACGAGAACAAAGGAAATAAAGTTGTAATGGTTGGCGTGCCAAAGTTCGTTCACGGCTGTGCAAAGAATTGGGTAAACATCGTTTGGAAGCCTGGAGTTTCCAACGGCAATACGTTCTGATTTTATTTAATCAGCAGTTTGCCCGTGTGCTTGACCTTTGATAAGTGCTAAATCATAATGTAGGTTTATCATCTGCACATACACGCAGTTCATTGGCAAACAGTCACATTATCGTGAGAAGGCGCAATGGAAAATGTTACTGTTGAAATGGAGCACAAATTGCCAAGGCCGGGCGTGTCAAAGTTGGACGGTCTTACTTGGCCTTGGATGGTCACTCGAGAAACTCTGGATGCTATGAAAGTGTTTGAAGTTAGGGAGGATGATGTGTGGGTGGTAACGTTTCCAAAATCAGGTAAGTTTGTAAGGTAAGAATAAAGTACCACAGTGCACATTTCAGGTCAACCTTGCGAAAGGTGACATGATAGTAATGATTACGACGGGATGGTTAGAATGGATGGACTTTTGGTAGTCCCCCAGCAACAAAACAAGGATAAATCAACAAAAGTTTTGAATTGTCTGCCCATTTAAGAAATTCTTGGATGCGGCAACCACTAAGAAAATACATGTAGTTCATCCTTTACTACCTTTTATAACTGCTGGATCCTATTAATTCTAGGCCTCACAAAATAAAGTCTGACTCGCATAAAAGAGTAATTTCGTTTACAATTTTGCCTCTGTCAGGTACACATTGGGCTTTAGAAATGGCCAACTTAATTCTTGTGGATGGTCATGAGCACAAGATTAATCGAGCTGAAGTAGGTCATCCGGCTGAGTTTGATTACTCTATCCCAGGGATGTCTGCCAGCTCCAGACGCCCTCAAAGAACTCTGCCACAGTACAAGTATATTCAAAACTGGAAAGCTCCACGAGTTGTCATGTCACACCTACCAGAAGAACAGATTCCTGAGCAAATCTTGCAGGGAAAAGGAAAAGTGAGTCACAAAGAAGTCCAAACTTTAGCGCCATAACGCTTCACTATTTTTTAAAAGAAAAATGAGTAATACTACATAATGTATACGACTAATAAAAGTTTAAGAAAATTTTAATTCGATGTGTTTTGCAATTGAAGCAGTAACTGTAGTTCATTACTTATGGTAAGAAGGATGAACATAAGCTCAGTGCTTTCAAATACAGAAGTCGAAATTTCAAAAAGCAAGTTGGTAGGTATCCTTAATTGTAATAATTGTCACTTTTTAAACGCACAATACTCAGAAATACCATAAATTCATAGAATGCTGAATATCAATAATCAGCTCTTGCCTTTTTTCCAAATAGTTTGTGTGCTTGGAATCATTGTTACCTTATTTGCACTTACAGGTTGTGTACGTCATTCGAAACCCGAAGGACATAGTTGTGTCTTACTGGCACTTTGCAGTGCCGTGGACATTTGACAAGCGATATGAAGACTGGGAGTGCTTCTTTCAAATGTTCCTGAAAGGAGAAAGTAAGAATAGGACATCTTGCCTGGGGCAAGGTGACAAGGGAAATTAGCTTCCGGCAATCAAAGGATATGGAAAGGGGGGCAAAGAGAAAAGGGCGAGGAAAAAGACGAGAAGGGGATAGAAGCCAATGCTTACATTTTCTGGATACATGTAAATGCATGTGCATCCATTCAAACAGCACAACAAAAGGACAAGTTATTGCACCCAGCCTAGCCTGTTTTCATCGAGCCTTATTCTGCAACTACTTTAAACCCGTTTCTAAGAAATTGAACCCTTGCAATGCTCATGGTACTATGCAAATCATCAAAATCTGGTGATTTTTAATATTTCTTATTTTGGCTTTTCTTTTCTTGCAGTGGCTTTTTATCCTCTCATTTCCCCAATATTTAACATATTTATCATCCTTACCCGCTCATTAAAATAAAGTTTTAATATTTCATTCAGTGGTTGGCTCCGCAAACTGTCGTAATTATCTTGATGAACAAAATACAAGAAAAGCCTTCTGGTTCTTCTCAGAACTACTAGCTTTGAAAGTCCCCCTTTCCCATCAAGGACAATATAAAATGCTCGAATATTTGAGCTAATCGCCATGTATATGTATTGTCATTGTTGTTCCGATCAAGGGACAGTGTTCTTGCAAACATTGTGGAACATCTTAAACTGAAATACCTGAGGGCAGAAGATTCTTTGAGGTGAAACATGACGATAAAAAAATTTACGTTTTAATGAATGACTGTATTACAATCATTATTAATCGATTTTTCGCAGCCATTTATGGATCTTGGTTTGACCACACGCTGAATTACTGGAACAAGCATCGCCACGATAAAAACTTCCTCTTCCTAAAATACGAGGATATGAAGCAGGTCAGTTAAAATACACGAAATCTAACAAATATATTCAAAATCGTAATGTAACATTTCTAGTTCTTGTCGGTGGAAGTAGAAAGAAAGCAGAAGTCACAATTAAATAAAGTATCGTTTCAAAGACCATCAGATAGTTACTTTTTTACCAAAACGATATAAGCTTGAAGACTTCGTTCCAGGGTCTAGACAAGACATAGTAGGTCTGAGTAAACTGCGTTGTTAATAATCACTTTTTATTTGAATGTGTTTTTGCTCCTCGATTGTGCGTATGCTTACAGGTTTGGTGCTATCTGGTGCTGCTAAGCGTCTCTAAAGACTCCCGTAAAATGAAATCTCCGGTGTTTGAAAAGATGCACATGTTTGTTTCTGTGGAAGTTTTGCAGTGAAAACCGCATCTTTATCTGTCTTTATACTTATAAGTAATTTTAGTCCGAACTTCTGACCTCAAAAAGGGCTGTAATTAAGGCTTAGTTTCCACATGGCCTTATGTCAAGACGTAGACAGTCAAAGTTCCCAGAAGAACTGACGAGGATCCCCTCACCAGTTCTTCTTAGATTAGAACCACCCTCTCCCAGAAGAGATGGATTCCTCAAGGTGAATCCGCAAACCTCTCTCATCTATTATGACATCGGGGCGTTACACTTTAATTATAGGCCCCCTAAGGAGAAAATTGACAAAATGCGTGGTACGAAGCGAGAGAGACATCATTGAACGCCGGTCATGCCAGCATGCGCGTTTGTATACAGGCCTACCGTACCATAGCCATTTTTTTCATAGGAAGTTCATTGTCGAAACTAGGTGGTTGACACTTCAATGAAGTTAGAAGATATGGATGATATGTTCAGTCCTGAGATAACTATACAATGGTAGTGTAGCCGAGGACCCCAGACCATTTGTTTTCTTTCTTTATCCCAATTTTTCCTTCCTTCCCTTCTAAATTGTTTTCTTAACAAGGACACCACGAAAGCCGTCATCCAAATGGCTGATTTCCTTGACAACCCTCTCTCAGAAGAGTCCATCAATCGAGTGGTTGAGTTAACCAGTGTAAAGAGCATGAAGAAGCGTTTCGACACTTCCGTCAATCCAAAGTCACCAAAAGATGTTCCATCAGCAGGCTCTGAGATAACTGTGGATAGAGCGCCCTCTGGCCCTATGACCCCTGAGGAAATCATTACAAAATACCCAATTGGAGCTCCGAAGTTAGTGAGAAAAGGTGAATGTTTAGGCTTTGCAAAAACTTGTCCCTTTTTAACATTCTGACTTCCACACACTTGGGATACAGTGTCTGAATACAAACTGAACATGTACGCTTACAGCAAGAGCTTGGCATGCTGATAACATAAAATAATAGCACAATGCTATATCTCCTGCGACAAAAATTCACTTGTATGATTACGGAATCGATATTTAGTTTTGCCCGTCATTCATTTTATAGTATATTGTAAGCTCAGTGCCTCCAGGGAGCTAGGGGCCACCTACAGTTTTAAATAATAGATGCTTCAGCCTCAAATTAGCAGTAGTTTGCACACCCTTCTCTAAAATTGTACCAGGATTTGGTTTAAAAAAAAACAGGTCCACGAAAAATCAGCCCCCTCCAATTATTTCTATGTCCGGAATCGATATAGAAGTGGGTACTGCAGTAAATAGATGACTCAATGTTTTTCAGTATAATAAATTTCTCAGTAAAATAATCTTGTCTTCTGAAACTGAGTGTACGAGTAACGTGTCGATCTCTTGTCACTATGACAAACGTAGCTTCTTGTTTTATGCATGCCAAAAAGAGTTCTTGTGAATGTTTTCCGCGTTAACTTATATAGATTGACTATAATAATTGCTTAAACTAATGGGGACTATGTCGATGCGGTAAACATACAAACGACTGTCTTTTCTAGCCGAAATTTTAATCGAGTGGAGTTTACAATAAAAAAACAGGATGTAAGGAGGCATACCAGCATACCACCATATACCAGTCTGCTACGAGGAAGACTGACTTATGATACCTTTTTTTAGGAATCACTGGAGATTGGAAGTCCAAGCTGACCGTGGCCCAAAACGAGGCTCTGGATGGACTCTTCAGAGAGAAAATGGCAGGATCGGGGCTGACAGTTCGGTTTGAATAACACGATTTTTGTTTTTAACTGTTTCTCTCTCTCTCTTTTTATTACCCTGATTACAACGATTTAATAAGAGTAATGCAATTTAATGACAGTACAATAATTTTGCATTTAAGGGGCGTGCATGATGAACATTTCACTGCAAACTGAAGTTTTCCTGTCAGTTGCGCACAGGCCCTGATGTTGCCACTTTTAAAAAATCCTTGTCTCATGCCTTTTCTGAGTAATACCGGCCAATCAGTAACCTATGGCTGAGAGAGCCGTAGCACATGGTGTGCCATTCGCTTCGTACTTGGTGTCAGTTTGCCTGGAAAAAGTGATTCATGATAAATTCATGATGATACTTTGATACAGTTAGATAAACAGAATTTATTGTTTATAAAACACGAAAGTGAGTTCTTTTCTGTTATGGAACGGTTACTGTTATTGCTCACCAAAGTTCCATTGGTATTCTGATGAATGACACACAGATGTATTCAGCTTTTAAGGAAGTCAACAATTACTGATCAAGTCGCTGCAGTGGAGGCATTTAGGAAATGTCAATGTGTACACATGAGGTCTCGGATTGGATGCTAAATCATTAAACGGAATTTTTTGTCATTGGTACAAAACAATACCATCTATCACATGACCGTCGGCAAGAATAGTATTACCGTTCATTTGTAAAGGAACTCTTGGAATTTAGTTTAACGAATACTTTAAAGCTGCATCAAAATGAAACTTGTGAGGCTTTTTCACCAGTTGTATGATATTCGTTACACTAGGAATAGATCGCTAGGAATAGTTGGTGTTTGTCCATTCGTTTTTCGTGTAATGTAATTTTGTTCAGCACAGTCCAATATGATGAAATGAAACGCACGAGGGCACAGAATGCTGCAGCAAGATTAGGAAGTCGTTAATTATAAGCTTTGCCATTACCTCAATACAGTGGATGCTCGCTAAACAAAGAATCTTGTTCACGATTTTCTTATTTGTCTTTAATTCCATTCCTATAAATCTCACCCATTTATATTGATAACTTATTATAACCTGATATCTCACAGCTCTAGAACCAATTGCCAACAACATTAGATGCATGTCAGGAAAAATATCGCGCGATTTTAAACATGAGCTAAGGGATTTTAAAGTAAATCATTCAGTGATTAACACTCAACCTCAGCTAGATATATTATTGGAGTGAACTTTGTCAAGTATGGGTAGCATAATTGTATAAATTTTGAACTAAATTTCTTATGCTAGGATTTTTGTCGCTTTGAAGTCTGGCAGTGTAAATTGCTCCAGAAAATATGCGAAAAGAGTTAAGTGGCTGAACGATACACTAAAGTTCAGAAACGAGGCCACAATCGGACCCAAAAATCTCCAAAAGGTCGGAAGCTTGTGGTGTGGGAGCTTGGCTATGAACAGCGTGCAAACAGCAACGTACTTGTGACTGCGCAGGTCTGGTGCATGCAGGTGGATTCATCTTCAGAGTCATCGTGTGAAGAAGATGAATGGCAATATAGAGCACGTCACTTCCAACCACTTCTTCAAGGAATAATGGAGCAGTAATGGCGTTCTGAGAAGCCGATGTGGAAGATAACCAAAAGTCGTGATCAAAGTCGGAACAATTTTCAAGGGAGGGGGCCAGGTGTTAGACCATCTGCAGGCATCATCCATTCACGGGCCGATCCTCAGTGAGGCCCACCCCATTATAGAACCTGTAAAAAGTGTGTTTGTTGGGGGGGGGCAGGCCCCCCAGTCGAAAAAGTGGGTGGGCCACTGGCTCCCCTGCCCCCCCCCCGCTTCCGCCGTCAGTGGTCGGGATCCAAGTACCCTGCCAGTTATGAGGCCGACAGGCAAGCCACTTAGCATTTTTGGTCTTCCACTATAAATGACCTTTCACAATGTAGGCCTCGATTAGACATTACGCATTTTTGCATTTTCTGTTAAATGTTATGTGAAGATTGAAGCTTTAAAAATTATAACAACATTTAGTTACTTTGAGCTGATTTGAGGAATTAAACTGTTTCCCTCGAGTCATGAGGACGACTGTGGGTGATCCGGGTGTAGACAAGTTGTGGAGAGGTCCAACTTAACAAATTAAAGATATGATTTTGTAATTATCCATTCTATGATTTTCCGGACAAACCCTTTTTTTGTTTTGCCCGTTATCTCTGTTCACACAAATCTACACTTTGTGCTCACTTTGATTTACTGCAGCTGCCGTCTCTACTCGGAGGTTAATCATAACACTTATTGGAAGTAATGCACAACAAACGAACTTTAAGTAGTTTTAATTTTATACATGTAGTTCGGGGTAGTACGCCATTTTGAATAGGGCTCGTCAACTTAAGTTTTCTATTATTAAAATTGTTTATTATTATTTTCAGTTTTACTCCACTCAGTTTCGATTGACGTAAACCCACGCCCTGCTTGCTTTGTTGAACTGTTCGCCGTACATGTAGTCTAGGTATTATTTTACATCTAGATTATGGGGCTGCACGACAGGTAACTGCCTTCGACAGGGTGCAGACCACTAATTCAAGTTAGTCTTGCCAGCTCATTAGCATTGGAAGTGTCCTCCCCACAGTATCTTTTGAAAAAGGAGATTGTTTGGCCCCAAAAATTATGGGGAGATTGTGTAAATAGTTGCAAGGATCAACTACTGGGTCTTTGAGCTTTCATATGAGAGCAGAATTGCTGAAAACTANCGGGGGGTGATTTTGTTTTGTGGGAATAATTAAAAATGTAATTGGTTAACCCACAAAAATTGAAAAGAAATTGATGTAGTGAATAAAGGCACTGATCCGTTACCTGGCTGGTTGTCAACTTCCACACGCAGCCAGGCCAGGCCCGAGTCAGTCTTGTGAGCAGCACCAACCAGTCAACACGTAGGCCTAGTTGTTTTGTCTGGGTGCTCCCTGTGACTCCCAAGACTTACACCGGCCACCTGCCGTACTCACCGGTAAGATTGCCGATTACTACATTGAAACATTAGGGACCAGACAATAATTTCATTTGTGTTTTAGAATTCCCAGGGATGTTGGCATGCATGTTACTGGGCCCTGAACAGTGCTTATTTTACACTGTTACAGTTGACTGTACACCGCAGTTTTGTAGTGATCTGCATTTGCATTATAGGAATTTTTTTTAATATTAGAATATTTGTAAATGCTGATACCCCATATTTATGCGCATGTGATTATAGATTAGTTTAACAGTAGATTGAAAGACACCAAGAATTTTCAAAAAGTG